TGGACGGGACGGGACGGGGCAGTCCTGCCGCCCCGCCAAGCCTCACAGCTCCCCCGGCCTCGTGCTCCGCCCGCCGCCTAGCCGCACTTCACCCCCGGGGACCCACTTGCCAGCAGGGCCTGGGCCTTGGGCAAACCCCGGCGTCCCTGTCTTCAAGAGTGCTGCAGCATCCTCGGGAGCAGTGGCCTCACGCTTTCTGGGTCGCTTTTCTTGCCCTCCACGTCCCTTCCTCTTGCTGAAGATCAGTGCGTGGCTGTTTTGACTCGGCCTGGAGTTTGAAATAGGAGGAAGTTGCTTCTGCCTCCCACAAAGCTTTTACCAGCATCTGCTGAAGCACTTTTCAATGGCATTCATGGCTTTTTCCTTTTTCATCAGTGTAACAGAGGAGAAGGGAAGCTTGCTTGACGCTAGCTCTGTCTCACTAGAAGTACCTATAGCTCACCATTCTTTCCCATGGAGGCCATCGCTAGGACCAGGACAGTCTTCCAGCAAACTGAGAAGTCACCCATGAGTCTGTAGCTGACGGAGGTGGCCCAACATCTGCCTGTTCAATGGCAAATAGTTCTGGGAGGAAGGATCTTGGTGCTGTCAGGTCACAGGTCCTTACTTTTTGTCTCTGGTCTGTCCATAATGAGTTGAGCTTCCTTGAAAAATGATCAGTGCCACCATTGGGGGCAATTCAGTCGTCCAGGTCTCCTTAATATTGCATTCTTTCCAATTAGCCTTCACTAGGTGTCTTTCACTTTTTTGCCCACCTCTAGAGTCATGACTAGCAGTGAGTTGGGGTAGACAGAACCTGTTTTGGGAGCTGGTTGTCCAACAATGATAGGTCCCATCCAATAGAGCTGGTGCTATATAAATGTAGCTTCAGTGCTGATGGTGGTTACTTGAGTTAGCGCTGGCACTCATCCATTCATTTTCTGTTCTTCCATTTGATATGAAGGATTTTCTAAAGACATTGCCAATGGGAACATTTCAGTTTTCAGATGTTTCTGGTATGTCATCTGTATCTATTCACAACCCATACAACAGCGTAGGGATGACAACAACCTGGTAGAGAAGTGTGGGTTCCTGTACCCTGTTTGGCCCTGTTTAGTTACAATCATGTCTCACTAAAAGTAACCATAGTTCACTGTAAGGACAAAGCCCACATCTGCCCCTTTCTGAGTTACAAGTATCTATAATGATGAAAAGCTACCCATGCCCTTTCCTAGCTGTAGGAGCCACATTTCAGTGAATAAAAGTCTGGAGTCACCAAAAGGTGCAAATATGCCTCTGGGGGAATTTTCTTTAAGACTTAAGCTATGTCTACACACAATGCAATACTGCAGAGATACCCAAGCTACCTGAGGCTGATAGGATCTTTTTATTATTCTGGTTGTATTTTTAAGGTATGTAAGGGTGCCTAAGGAATAGATAGACACACTTTTCCATGCACATAATTAAAATAAAATTGTATCTGAGTAGCCCCTTTCCTCTTAAGGTCTGGTGTTAAAACATCTAATGAGTCCTCTCTACAAAAGCCTTGTTTGGTATGACAAAAAACATCCATTTTAAAGATCCTGGGATGCTGTGTCTAGCTCCCTATTGCTCTACATTTCCAAAAACCAGTACCCTTTTAGTTAAGTGACTTGAAAAGGATTCAGGTACTTCCCATCCTAATATTTTAAAATCTGGTCTACAATCTAAAGTCACCCATCATATCTTGAAAGAAACTAGTTAGACCATTATTGGAATTGCTGTTCAATCTTTTCCCACCAGGAAGATCCTCAAGTATACATTCAGCAGGATGCAAAATTTTTGTATATAAAACGTATTAATAAAGAACCAATATTGTACCAAATCCAACACGCCCTTGTTTTTTCCACTTCCCATCTTTACAACATTTCTCATGCTCTATGTAAATGCTGTCTCTATACACCTAAAGCCTACTGCGCCAGGTTTCACTTTTGTAACTTTGAATCTTCAAAACCTGAGACAAAAACAGTGCTAATGTATTCAACAGCCTCTTACTTTAAGGTTTAGAATCTTTATTTAAAATATAAATATTTGCATTGTTTATAACTACTCCCATAACACACTATCTGCCAAAAGATCTTTATAATACTCATGATGTATTCTCAAATATGTGTTCTCTTGTTGATCTAATCACATATTTGTGTCTGCCTATGAATTTTATAAAACCTCTTTCAGCTAATAAATCTAAAAATGTGGAGGCTGGTTGCTGGCAAATATTGTCACTGATGGAATCAATACATCATTCTCAACTTTTCATTGTTTATAAAATGAAACAATGGTTCCAGTGGTTCAAAAATTACGTTAATATTTTTCACCTGATTTTTAAAAGTCATCTTAGCTCTTCTATGTCGAAAGGATTTACTACTTCATCTGATAGGTAGCATAGTGAATTGTGTGCAATGTGAGAAATTCATAGTTTCAAATACATTATTATTTTGCTTGCTTATTTAAAAAGGTTAATCATAAGCCACAGTGTAGCGTTAGCCATTGTAAGTCACATTGTTGCTGTATGTTTCCTATGTAATCAAAAGCATTCATACTAGTACATTCATATCTTTACTGAGTAAAAATTATATTATGCATTATGCAATTCTGACCTAACTAGTTTTGTTAAAAAGCAAATAATTCATTTAAGATGTTTATTGGTAGGCCTGAAAACAAACCCTTTCTTCACCCCAATAGGTGTAAAAGCTTCCTTTCACTTCCCCAATAATGTACCTCAGTGCAGGACTGGATTGACTGTCTAATGATAAAGAGGAAGGTCATCCTGAATTCTCAGCTAGGACTAAAAACTGGTGGCAGTAGGTTAGTTAACCCTTTTACGTGGACACTTACCAGCCTACAGACAGGCTAAGCCAACAAGCAACTTACAGTTCCTAATAACATTTGGTTACAACCAAAGTGCACTGGATTTGAAACAGCTGTTTAGCTGTAGAATACCCCATCTCATTACAAATCCCTTAAGCATTCAATACTTCCTTTAACATTTCTATGCATCTTTTAAATAATTATAGTGCGTCTTACTCTTGTCCCCAAAAAAGATATGATTTCAAATAGAGAGCTCCACAAAAGAGACAGGTCACCCAGCTCTTCTCTAGATCAGTCGCTTTTTGGCACCAGCACACATGCTAGGAAAATACCTGACTACAAAATTCTGATTCAAACATACAAATGGCACATTATCTGCAGTCAGTACAATGCTTTTGATTTATTCAGACTCCCAAGTCTCAATTTATACTTCTGTAAAATGGGATACCACCTCACAGGGTTGTTGTGTAGCTTAAGGTAAGCAAAGCTCTTTAGCAATTTATTGCAAACCACCTTGCAGAAGTGTAAAATATTGCGTTATTATTACTATTCTAGGAAAGTCATTTTCGTTTTGATGACTTCCAGGGTAAGATCTCTCAGCAGGATTATTTTCAACTGAAATCACCCACAGTGAAACTAAATGGCTCAGAATTTCAGAACAGCATAGCCTAGAAGATAAATTTCCAAGTGGCCTCTTTTTTCTCTGCATCTTGTCGCTTTCTATCACAGGCATGTTTGAGAAGTGTATTTAGAATCAGCAATCGCAGGATAGAAAGATTAGCATGACATCACAAGGAGAGAATAAAAGTCCTGAAATGCACAGTTTATGAGACAGTTTGATAAGAGGAAATTAAACACAACTTCATGTGACAATGTGACAAAAGATCTAGATCAGTTTTAGTCTTGCTCTTAAAATTGTGGATATTCTCCTCCCTTTCATTACAGCCTTGTGACTCTGAACAGTTGATATTTCAGACAGTTAATCAACAGCAATTGTTCGAGGATTTTGGCTTCCCTTATCTAGTGCATCATAGTATGCACGCACATACACACGTTTACATATATATTTATATATATATATATATATATATATATATATATCTATTCTGAGTAGCATAAGGGGCTGCAAAGAGAAAGGGATGGTACTACTTATACTGCACCAGTATTTCTATTAACAATTATCAATATCATAATGAAATAAATCCAAAGTCCAACAGGGATTCATCCACATGGGGATTCCACAAGTAATAAATAATCACAAAGGTAATCTGAAGATTTATTTAAAAATAAACATTTTTTCATCATTTCTTATGAGTGCAATGAAAATAAAATCTCTCTTACAGACAGTGGTCATTTGGGGGTATTATATAACTGAAGTTGCCTAGCATCCTATTACTGCTTATGAAGTTATCTTCATAAGTGGAAAATATAGCAATTAGTGTGCAATACAGCAATTAGTGTGCAAACTGAACATAATTGTTCTTAACTTTAGCTTGTTGTTATGTAGTTCCTGAAAGTGTGCTCCTATCAAATTTAAAGAAAACCAGCCATTAAATAATCATTTGCTGTGCAAAATCTCTCTGTGAAGCCTGCAACGGATTTAAACGTACCGACAGTTCCAACCAGTGCCGTAGATTCAGTGTTTATGGCTGTCAACCCAATTTTCTAAGGTGTATCTGTATCAGGTAACAGGGCAATATCATGTTAACTAACTTGCATGAAAGTAGAGTAGTTAAATGAAGACATCTGGAATTTATTTAAATTATTACTTTTCTGTTGACTTCATCTTTATAAAATAAGTTTAGTACAGAACTCATACCTATAATTGGTTTCTGTAAAAAATTATTTTATAACTTTAAGTACCCAACATTTATCGATAAGTATGATTCTTGTGCTTTAACTACTATTTATCTTTATATGTATTTTACAGCAATGACATCATTCATGCTGTTATATTTAAAAGGTTATAATACAAATACTGATAAAAACTATTTTCTGCAGTGGTTCTCTTTTTTAAATTGGTAGATCTGAAGTTTAACATATAAAAGGTCTTTATACAAATAAATGTTCTTCTACAAACTCTGGAAAAAATATCTCTCATTTTAGTTACTGTGTTAGACAACAATTACATTTATTATTGAGAAAAAATTTAACACCGGATTGCAACAGTGAAATTGAAATTAAGTTCTTGGCTTTTTCCCTGGCTCTACAACTGACATTTTAGGTTCTCTGCACCTCTCAGTGGCTCAGCTGTACATCTATAAAGTAAAAAACAACCCACCTCTCCAAAAGCTATTTTGAGATCTAGTTATTGCCTAAAACTGAGATAAAAAATGTGTGTATACATTTATAGTATTTACCATATAAGATGCACTCAAAATAAAAAAAGCCTTCTGCAGATTTTAATATTCCATCCATGTTTGAGAGAATGGTGATCACTTTTGATTAAGAGAAAGATGTGGAGAACATCTGCATTTGGTTGTGAGAAGCTAGATGGAAGGAAGACAGATTTGGTAGTACCTCGACTACATTATTAGCAAGAAAGGTAAAAGCAAATTCTTGACAATTTTTCACATTTATATTTGTTCTTTTGTTAACTACTGGGTGAAGTAACAGAAATACTACTGGTACAAGAAAAAATATTTCTGAGATAAAAGTGAGGACATTTTCAGAGCAAAATCCAGTAAAGTTATTTCTTCAAACCTTGACAGTTAAAGCCACTGTTCTAAAGCTTTATGCACACCCCTATTTGTGCTGGCAGAGGAGAGCAAAAAGCTGCTGAGTGGGTAAATATATAAGGAAGCTGCAGTACACGTTCTCCTCCCTGACGTCTAGAAATAAAGGTCTGCAGATTTAAGAAGCATCTAGGACATCAGGAGGTTGAGTAATTTAATTATAAGAAGAAGAGAACATAGGTTTCCAAGAAGATAGCTGCAGAAGATTTGGTAAAAGAAAACGCTCAAAGTAGATTTCTTGTTGAAGCACTGAAGCACAAAGGGCTGCAATTTGGTGTCTATTTCCCTCCCCTCCCACTCCTCCCTGCAATCTAGGTTTGCTAGGCTGCATGTACCCACAATACCTAAACTGAAGGAGCAACACTCCTGTTATTCTTTCCATAGTTTTTACTTACAAATCAGAGAAAAAATTTCTATAAAGTGAATTGAGAGAGTAATACTTATCACACAAGTCAGTCATGAGGAATTAAACATTTACAGCATGCAGAATGCAGATACAGAGTTTTCGTAAAGGGCCATACCACGTACAAAAGTACATCCAGATCTTCTGAACTTCCAGTGTTTAAATACTTTTCAATGTTAGTTAATCTGTATCTGCTACTACTAACAAACACTGAATAAGCTAATGTAGGTCACTTTGCTAAGGCAGGGAATTTATTACACAAGTTTGGATAGTTCAAGGGAAAATTCTTAATCCTCTATGATCTGTGTTAAATCAGTCTGCTAGAATTTTATTAACAACATCCATCTTTGTAATATACAAGTCTAGACATAAAAATTATATAGCAACTTTATATTCTGTTCTCATGAGGTTTGCTCTAGTACTATTAATTTCAACCTTATTCAACAGGTAGTTGTATTTGTGATCCATATAAAACTTTACAATGAAGAACTACAAGTGTTCTTCCTGAAAAAAATATGGGGGAATCGTTAAATATTTAAAGGACAGGATTATCCTCTGTACATTGTAGCTATAACATTGGATATTGCCATATGAAAGTAGTTGCTGAGCTGAGATAAATAGTGGTGATGGATCAAACCAATGCTTATGATTAAAGATTCAACAAGATCCCTAGAATAAAAGAATGACCACATCACATCTTTTTTTTTCCATGTGCAACGACACAGCTCTATAAAATACTGACCTTCAACAGCTGTACTGCTGTCTTTAAAATTCTGATTAAGGGTCCTGAGAAAAATAGATTTCACTACTGTTGTAAATAATAAAAAATATAATAAACCATTTGAAGATGTTCCGTATTTACAAGTGGCAGCTAAATAAGAAAAAGAAATGAGTTTTAAAAAAAAGCACCTTTGTTTTTATATAAAGACTAGCCAATTGCCCATCAAGAATTATGGGTGTGGTGGGGAAGGGGGGAGTGTGGGTGGAGACAGAGGACTGCGTAAGGCCCCCTCCCCTCCCCTTCGGGGCTGGGCCTGCTCCCCTTTCCTCCCCTCTGCTGTAGGCACCCACCCATCCCCGCTGTCGTTGCGGGGCCGGGTCAGTCCGGGCCTGGCACCCCTCCCTGCCATTTTGGGGTAGGCCCCGCCCCGATTGCAGAGGCAGCCCTGTGCCCGCCCACAACCGCTGCTGTTTCAATGCCAGGCTAAGCTGGGTCCAGCACGCCGCCCCCACCCCCCCAGGTTGTGGGGCTGGGCTGGGCCTAGTGCAACCCCTACCACCCTGCCCACTGCTATTTTGGGGCTGGGCTTGCCCCCCACCCCCTGCCGTCGTTGTGGGGCTGGGCCAGGCACAGATCAACCTCCCCCAGCCTGCCTGCCCCACCACCGTCCCCGTTTTGGGGCCAGGCCCACTTCCCTTCCCCATCCGCCTGGCCTGCGTCCACCTGCCTCCCCTTCCCATGAATGATGAGGGGGCATGGACAGAGCACTGCCACCCAACATCCTGTGCCACCGCCACACCCAGGGAGCAGGGGGCGAGGCCAGTTCTTCGCTCTGTCCACTTCATTGCCGCTGCCTCCTGAGAGCAGGGTGGGGAGGGGGCAGCTGCACTGGCCTTGTCCCCCTGCTCCTTCCCCTCTGTCCCCACTGTCATGGTGGCATCAGGGCCCACTCTCCCCACTCACCGCGGCAGGCCCGGGCCCGTTCCTCCCACCCCTTGCACCACCGCTGCAGGTCTAACACTGTTCACCACCCCGCTTGTCCCACCGCCACTGCATCCAGCTCCTCCACGGAGCAGGGTGGGGGCTGAGGCCAGCTGTGCTGGCCCCCACCCCCTCTGTCCCTGCTGTCATGGCAGCAGTCCGCCGCAGCGCTGCTGCCACCTGCAGTCCGAACGCTCTTGGAGCACTCTGATTGGCTGCCGAGACAGACAGACTATGGTTTTTATAATATTAGACTTAATCTAAATGTTTTCCAGGTTTTATTTCTAAATTTACAAGCTATAACAAAATTTAAAGTAGATTTTTAAAGAACACTTTTTAAAGAAAGCTGGATTGAGTTTGCAACGTAATCTGTTTCTAACTTCCAAGTACTGATAATTATAACATTTAAACTCTTCAAAAATGAAGCTTTGAAGACTGTGGTAACAGGTTCTTGTTTGGTTCTTCAGGTATCTTCTCACATTATAAATACAAGTTGTAGTTCTATCCAGTGAACAGATAACATATTTCAGAACAAAATGTTTGTTAAAAATTAGGTTTTCCTTAAGGTTACTTTGGTCATAAGTAAGACAATTCCAAATCCAAACAGGGTTACTGCTCCCTTTTTTATTAATCTATTCTTCCATGTGGGTGTTCTTTCTAGGAGTTGCACACGACTGGGGTCATTCTTCTGTCCATTTTGAAACTAATAAGTTAATGAAAAATAATTAAAATGTTAGTGTCAGAGACTTAATAAAATACGTTAAACCCTACTTTGGACATCTTACATCAATTTCACACACACACACACACACACACACACACACACACACACACACACACACACACACACACACACACGCACACATTTTGTTTTGCTCTCTTTTTAATTGTTTCAGCTCAAGTCTATGGCAAAGCTTCTATTGACCTCGGTGTGAGCAGGTCTTTATCTTATCTAGTGCTCAGCAAGTTATCACATAAATAATAAAAAGCTAAATGGCAGCAACTTTCCGTAAATAAACAGAATTCCTTAAGAGATTTAAAACTGCTAACACAATTGTTGAAAAAAATATCCTGCACCATTTTGGGTTAGTAATTATTATACTGTAATAGCAAACTTAGCAATACTCACATGTTATATCAGTACTATGTAATCATAAGAGGCATAATTTGTAACACACACAATTATAATATCATTATATAATTAGTTATATTTAGTTCAATGACTCCCCTGTAATAGAAATGCAGTAAGCTGAGACCGTCCCTTTTCTGAGAGGCTAGGGGCTGCACGCTGCTCAGCTGTGCACTCCAAAGCCCACCTGCTCTCCACCACGGATTCACCAGTTGTGCCACTCAACCCCTAGGGGTGGGGGCAACAAGTGGAAGATGGAGGAGGAGAGTCCAAAGACCATGGTGACAGTAGGAGAGGAAGCAGCACCCAGAGTTAACCTCTTTCAGGCTACAGGTGACCCACCAATTGGACAGCCCTGCAGTAAGCATACAGGGTCCTTACAAGATTTGGCTTACCAATAATTACATTACCTCAGAAAAGTTGAGGGTAAAAATGCTGACTTTACTGAGAATACCAGGGGCTTGTGTCATTGACTTTATTGGGATCAGGTGAATTCCCCCACAAGAATATTCCAATTATAAAACCAGTTAAAGAATTTTATACTTTAGTTGATAGTTCTTTATTTAATGACGTCTAGAAGAAAATGATTAAGGAGTTTATCTGGAATTTATCTATACTAATTATATTTACTGGATTAAAAAATATCATTAACTTACTTAATATCATTTTTCACACTTATATGTTTTCTCACTTTGCCTCTGTCAACAAGGAAGCTCCCAATAAAACACAAAGGTATGTTTTAAGGTTACAAGGATGTTATTCAGAACAATAATCATGGATAGCACATATAATGTAATGATTATTTTTGCAATGTAACTGTAAGAAGAGTAAGTTTCTAACATGTTAGAAGGTGAGAACCAAATGTTTTAAAAATGCATCCAAAGGCTGTGGTACAAGAATGCCTGAAGCTTGACATACATAAAAGTGCCATGACCTCCTTTTATACTTACAGGTACAAATGGCCTAACTGTAACTGTTCATTTGCATACACAGTCACCACGTTTACATAAAATTAACTATTGCATACATAAATGTAGGCACACAAATGCCTAACAGTTCTTTGCAACAACCTCAAACTTCTGCTATATAAAAAACAGGAATCAAACATATTAAGAAAAAGCTGCTACAGAAATGTAAATTTACCTAAACTACAGGAAATAATATTAATAGTATTATATCCATAGACTGACTTCCACATGGCTTCATTCAGCAACAGATTCCTTTCTGACACTGATGCTCCATTTACTGAATCCCAGCATAGTCATTCCTTTTACAAGCCTATTACTTAGAGCAACACTGTCTGACAGGAGCTTGTCATTGTGTTGGTTTGAGAGTGACTGATGTGGTGCTAACATCTAGCCTTGACCTCTCCCACCCTCTTCTTTTGTCACCTCTGCACACTTATCTAGGTTGCCTCCTATTCCATCTCCAAAAGAACATTAACATCTTTGTCATGGAGAGTCAGTATATCCAGATGATACGTTCACATTTACAGAAGGATGTTTATACTTGTGTGGTTTTCAAGAAGCCCAAGGATATTCCCTCATTTTGGGTTGCATTTCTCTACCATAAAGATTCAGCTCTCTGCCTTTCAGTTTAAAAAAAAAAAGAAAAGGTAGTTCTAGCTTCCTATGATATCTATCAACACTGCCTTCAAACTGCCTGGATGAATCACCAGTGGGTGATGTAAGAACAGTTACTGCACTTCCCCAAATTTCTATTGCCTCCACAGCAACCTATGCCAACTTGGAAGGAAGTGACCAAACTACAGTTTAAAGATCTTCTCTGTGGCAGCAGGTACAGAATTTGTTTATATGAAGTGAGTCTATGGCATTTCAAATATATTCAGACATATACGCACCTTTTGCATAAGGTCCTTCAATTTACTAACTTCTTCACCCAAATCTTCAACACTGCAGACCAAGTCCTCACAAACTTTAGTGAAGCTCTGGGGTGGACCCCACTCCAGTACAATCTATTAAAAGTTTACAGAGTTACTCAAAATCTAGAATAATTCTGATTTAGAACAACTGCGATTAAAACATGAACACGAGGCAAGGATTTCTGTGGATGTTATCTTTTACTGGGGGTAACACCATGGTTGGGATAGACTTAGACAAGCTTTCAAACATAATGCATTCTTCTACTCCACTGATTTTCAATCTTCCTAAGTAACAGAACCTTTTCATATCACTGTTTCTGCCATGGAACCCCTACCCAACCATGGCACTGGTCCATTAGAAGATCACTCATAAAAATCCTTATGTTTCACATATTTCCTTGACTTTCATGGCTACCACATCACTCCAACACTACCAAAACATTTCTGTAATGTATTTATAACTTTTATACACTATAACACTGGGGAAACCAAGGTGACATAATATGGACTATGGAAGCTTACAAAGCTTAAGAGGTTTTTTTTCTTTGTTTTTAAAGAATATTACAACTTAAAGTGGTGTTTCAAAATAACTACAAAAGAATGTTAGACACTTATCTGAACTAGGCAATAATATAAAAGTCATAAGGATCTGGTTATATACCACCTGTGACAAGTATAGCATATATAAAAGTAATTGCTTCCCTAAAAAGGTAAACAAAGCAAGGACAAGTCAGGCAAACTACTGTATAAAGTGGCTTCTAGGTTTTTTATTTTAAATAACAGTTGTGATTTTTTTGTCAATGCATGACATTCCCACTTATCTGAACTAGGCAATACTATAAAAGTAAAAAAAGATTATAATCTTTATTCATATTTTCATTTAGAGGCTAAACTAATTAATACCCCGGGTGCATCTTTATTCTCCTTTGTTGGATACCTTCTGAGAGTTTGAGGGTAACTGGGTGATGATAGACTGCACAGCAGCTGTAAGGTGACCACACTGTCTATTCAGTTTCAGAAGAAAAGTGAGGAACTCATCACCACTGTAAAAAACAATCAAACAAAAATTATTCTAATGTTAATTATAAAAAATTTCCTGCAAATTAATAAAACCATTATTGCTCATCTAATTCCAATGTATTGGTTAGGAAACTGGGTATGCAATTTAATTAAGAAATAATTTTTTTTAAAAGTTAACTTACTGTGGACCTCTACATACGCTACATTTCAGAATACTTATTTTTCTCCACCAAAAGATCTTAAGATAGAGTTGCATAGAACAACGTAGTCATTAAAAATGTCTGAAATTACAACAGTGTTGTTTGAACAAAAAATTGTCAAAATGCTTAGTTTACTCTCTTTCCGATGGCACCAATGGAATTAAGTTTATGGCCCTATTAGACACTGAAATTGCAATATAATTGTCTTTGTAGAATGAAGATAGACCCTGAAACCCAGAGTTTAGCAAAACCTGAAAAAAGAAGTCTCAGGTCTATTTTATGTAGGAGATATTCTTGATATGCAGCTTGTATATTCAAGCAGCATGCGGAGCTGAACTTTGCTTTGTACTTGGTGCCTGGGTACTCTGACCAATGTTTAGTAGTAAACAGAATGGACTGAGGTGTTCAGCCAGAAAAGCAGCTGGATGAAGCGCTGAGTAAAACCGACTTAGGCCTTGCATTTCATGCTCATTTTTCAAAATGGATTTTGGAAGGTCTTAGGTTCTCCAATTTGAAGATTATCTTACACTCAGTAGCATCTAACTAGGAAGGGAGCGGGGCAGCTGCCCTGGATGCCGACTTAGAATTGCCCCACCCACCCTGGGAGCCTTTGCTATGGCAGGTGCAGCCCCATGCTATCCAGCCACAGAAGCCTGGCAGCCCTGTGCTCAAATCTATGGGGCTGCAGCTGAGGGGCAGGCTTGATGCACACTGGCTGCACCAGACCTGCAACACAGACTCCCTGCCAGCTGTCCCTGGTGCCCTGTTCATCCCCTGCTTCCCCCTCCCACCAAATACTCTACTGGAGTCTCAGTTGGATGGAGACCTGCCAGGTCTGAGAAAGGCTGTGGTAGAAGGGTTGGGAGCATGCGTGTCCCAGCTGAGATGATCAGGATCCAAGAGGAAAAGTTCCCATCAAGGTTGAGGTCCCTCACTGGATGCAGGAAAGAAAAGGCCAGCCATCGCCACAGGAAGGGCTCACCAGCAAAGAGCAGGTGTTGAAGGCTTTGCAGGTAAGGAGGCAGGCACCCTTCTCAACAGGTCAATTGGGCCCTGACCCACCTTGTTGGTGGGCAGGCAGAGGACAGCCCTCTGAAGCCAGTAGTGCCTGCTGCAGAAGGATTCCAGAAGAAGTTTCTGGGACCTTTTGAGCAAAGTCCTTGGTTGATGCAGGATGACACACCTGTGCCACAGAGCAGCAGCTGCCAGGTTGCCAGGAGTGGCTGGGCAGGAGCCAGAATCACCACATAGTTGGACCTCACCATCCTCAATGTGGTCTTTCCAGTTCTTTGCTAGATAGGCTGGCGGGCCTAGAAAAATGGCCAGGGCTTTGAAACCATCGCAGCACCAGGGAAAGCTCCATGCAGGTCTGGGGACTAAGCACTGGCACAGAGGCGCAACAGAAAAAACATGTCACTTTTGGCTCCTTTGACATGGGCTGAGGAGGTGTGCTCATAGGCCTGCTGACACTTGATCAGGGACTGGACATCACTCTCACTGTTCACAAAAACAGCCACGTCATTGGCATACGCTGTCACCTTAACTACAGGACCAACAGCTGCTTGTCAGGTGCCACGGCATCACTTGGAGCAGTGGCTCAATGGTTAGGGCATAGAGCATTCTGGAAGGGGGCAGCCCTGCTGGATACCCCTGCATGCTGGGAATGGAGCACATAGTGCTTCATTCACCAAGGAAGAGGGAGGCTATGAGAACACGTTAAGTCCTCTTCTGGTCACAAGAGTTTTTGGGCCATGCTTTTCATAACTGAGGCTTGTTGAATGCTGTATATATTGCTCTGGAATATCAGGATAGTCACGTTCAGTGCTTTCCATGCTACTTTTGATGAAATTCACACCACCAAATGCATTTATGAGAAATTCTGCCCAGTCCTTTGTTGCTTTAGGTTTAAGGACCAAACATATAGGTGGGGTTACCTTCCTCCAAAGAGCAATTCTACATTAGCATCTCTAATAGACAGTTTTGCCTGTGCATCAGTCCTCTTACCTTCTGGTTACCAAAAACTATGAATCCTAAGCAAGCATCAGTAAATTTCATCAACAAATAAAACAGGATGAAAGGACGCCTGTTCAGATAAGGCAAATGGAATGTGGTACTGCTCAATTTCAAGCATACATGCTTCCAAGATCCAGAGGAACTACAAAAATTTAAAGTCTCAAGTACCAATTATTGTGAAAATATATGTTTTTGTAAATATTAATGTCACATTTAGGTATTGTTATTTGGTATTTCAAAGCATGTATTTTTAAACATGAACCAGCTTGGCAGCGGTTTCACTATCATACCAAGTTCCCTGAAGTAATAACAACGTAGTCTGTGGTACAGAATATTGTGTGGTGCTAGAGCGAGGCAAGCAATATTTTTACAAAGGAAGTTGAAATTTCCAGCATTTCTGCTTAAAAAATAATAATTTAAAATGAAAGAATTTTGTTTGCTTATTGAAGGAGTCAATGTAAAAACTATTAGCTAATATTATTTAGTATATTGCTATGACCCAATAGATTTAAAATGTTTTACAGAAAAATATTTTAAAGTAAATATTAGTATTTTGGATAAAAATTCTGTCATTAAATGAAGTGATCATAACCAGATACAGTCTGTAAGTTTCTCTTGCATGCTGAGCGCCCATCAAACAAGTCTATCATGACGACTTCTTTTGACTTAAAAGATAAATTTTATAGCTGGCTAGGATCAAATGACATCTGTGCTTTGTCACAAAGGAACACTAATTATTTTTGAAGCTCTCTTTCCATAATTCCTCACACAAAGTATGTTAAAGGCATGAAATGGAATGAAACAAAGGAAAATTATTACCTTATTGTACTTCCTAAAAACATTCAAATACCAGGAATGATTATTAGAATGAATTACTGTACCAAGTGAAAAATGTAACATTTTTGGTCTTGTTGAATGCTTGGATATATGATATACTCCATTGTGCTTTCAACAAGAACTGGAATTTTCACAAAAAAATACAGTTCTTTAGAATATGGTTCCTAAACATTGTGAAATACCCTTTGGGAGCTTATAATCAATCAGTTCAACATTTTCTACTATGTTAGTTTTTCTATGACTTAATGACTAATTTTCCCTCCTTATAGAATGACTGAACAAATGTGAAGCAAAATCTTCACATAAACAGCAAGTAAACAGAGCCTATGATTTAGCCACAAGGTCAGATTCCTGGAATACATGTGTCCAACACTTTTCTTAAAAAAAATATGCAACACTTCTAATAATTGAATTTGTGTCATATACTGTCTACCCAACAGCCTTCTATTAGTTCATTGTTTCTTATCACCCATGAAAACAGAAAACTGGAGTAAGATTTATAACCATAACAGATCATCTAAGAACACACAGTTCTATGCATTTCACATATTTAATACATTAAATAAAAAACAGAGAGGCAACAGGTTATCTGTGTTTTAACCCCTCTTTTCACCCGTTCAGTGGAATCCTTCCTTTTTATTTTCCATTAATTTCTCTGTCATATGTGTATTTAAATTTAAGAATGATGTACACAAACAGATGCCTTTTGGAAAAAAGAGGATCTATTTGCTCTTCTTCAATTTGTTGTTTATATTCAGTCTTTGTGGGGGTACAGATAGGGGTATGCATGCATACACCCACCCACACCCACTCATCTCCTGCTTATAATGTACACTCCTACATTGTTTTTCTTTTAAAATTTTTCACATATTTCTCTTTCTAAAAAAGCAGAAAAAGATGACGACCTTTAACATTTTTCCCTTTTGTTGGGCTTTGGGGGCCTTTCGGTTACATTCCCATTTTCATTTTCACTGTATGTCACAGTAGCATCTTCTTGTTGGCTCTCTCCTGGATTTTCTCCCCTATCCATGGACAGATTAAAAATGTTTTTTTTAAATCCATTCTTAGTTTTGAGGCATCCTTCTTATGGTTTCTCTTCAATGATTGGGGTTGTGCGCATCTGGTGAGCATGCATAACTGTATCCAGTGGACTCACTAGGTGGTTTTAATGTCTCAGGAAATCCCACACTCCTGGCAAATGTTCCATGCGTACATTTTTTTTACTTCCAGGATACTCAAATCTCATCTCCAGAAGCATCTCATAGTTAAATACAGTGGGTTCTTCACATTATCACAACTAGATAAGCCATCCAAGTCAGTTCATTACCAAGTGCTTTCCTCCCATTTTGTTACAGCAAAAGGTACCTACCCTGTTATGACAAGGGCAATGGGAATGGGGTCTACAATAATTATTTCCTAGTTCTGAAGGAGGGTGGGGGTGGGGACAATGCATCTGGGACTTAAGACAACTTGATAACTTTAATTCGCAAACTCAAGTCCAAAAGAATCATGTTAGTGACCATCAGACCATTTTTGAAGGAGGGTGACTGGTTTGCATCTCTCAACTTACAGGACACCTATTTCCATATTGCCATCAGATCCATACACACAAAACCTTTTATTTTCAGTAGGTCAGAATCATCACCAGTATAATGTCCTCTCATTCAGCCTCTCAGTGACCCTGAGAGTTTCAGTTTTCTCTGAGTTGCAGCCCAGCATCTTAGACAGTAAGGACTTGCTGCTTAGTCTTTCCTGGATGATTAGCAGGTTAGAGTCAAGAGTTTGAGAGAACGAAATACTAGAAACCAGCTTTTCCCCTATGTGGGGGGACTGCAGGTCGTTCCCTCCCGTCCCACGGGTGTAAATCAGCTCCTGTGCAGACATTCAAGTCAATAAAATTCACTTTGACAGCAAGGGTCTACCTCCGACAGGATATTTTTCAGTCCCTACAAGAATGAATCCTGATGGTTGAAAATTACCCAAAACTAATGGTAAAGACCGACTTCTACAGTCTTGGTTATGTGGCTACCTGAACCTTTGTGATACTAAGCATCAAACATCACCTCAGGAAGGTGAAAACTGTAAACTGTGGAAGCACTCTCCATGGAGGAGAAATCCCCTTACATCATCAGTTGAAAAATAACTGGTTTATATGGTCCAGTCTTCACTTAAATGACAGAAGAACCAGGCTCAATATGCATTAAAGAATGCACTTTTTCCCCTTGTACCTATCCATGGCCCTCATCATGGGTGCCTGTCTGTCAGGATGGAGTGTCCAAATTGGTGATCTCCAGGTACAGGGTCTTTGGATACAGTAAGACTCCATATTCATATGCTGGAATTCAGGGCAGCACGCAGAACTTGCCTTCCTCCACCAGACTGAGGATTGTGACACAAATCAATACTGACAACAATAACATGACGCTCAATATCAACAGGGAGAGTGTTGCAAATTGTTTCTTTACATGCAACAAAATAGTGCACAAATGGTAGTGCTGCATCTGTCATCATCTCACAGACCTTTCTGCAATGCACCTCCCCAGTCTCATCAGGCTTATTCCCTTGAGCAACAAGGGGGAGGGAAATCAAGCGGTTGGTTCTTTAATCCAGATCTGAGAAACTCTCTGCAGAAATCCTGAAGCCTTACTGGCTGTCATCTATGTGATGATTTGGGATAGATGAGCATAATTTATTAATTGCAGTTTGAAATTCTGGATATTTAATTGGACTACAAGCTCCATTTTGACTGGGAAACTAGACTGCTTGCTTTCTTTCTCATTTATGTCTTTAGATGGAATTCCAAGGGGTGGAATGAAGGAGAATTTAAGTCTGAGAGTTATCATACTCAAATAGAAGTCCCTTCTGCAAAACAAGGGGGCTAAAATAAGAAAGGCAGTCCACGCAGGGAGGTAACTATCTAACAGATGACAGCAAGAACAAAATGGAAGTATCCAATGAGGTTGCTTGGTGAAGGTCACAGTAGAAAGAAGCTCAACTTTACAAAAGCTCAACTCTCAAATAAGTTTGTTCTGAAGAGAGAGATTGGGAAACCAAAAACAGAAAGGTGGCTGCAGAAGCCAGACGACACACTGTATTCCTGAGAACTGAAAAGACTAAGGCTAGGTACAAACATTACACTTAATGGACTTTAAGTGCACAGAAAGCGCTTTACAGCTGTAACAGAACAGGTGTTCATGGCACATAGGGTGCTTTAAAAATGGCAGATCCCACTCTAAGTTAGCCCTGGATGGATGCATACTAAACTAAAGTGCTTTCTGTCAAAACACTTCATTGAATATCTGTTGCAGTTGTCACTGAGGGTTAACTTAAGGTGTTGTGCAGGGCTGCACTCTAGCTTTGGGCAGAGATCATTTGCTCTGTCCAGGTGTAGTGCTGGCTGTGCCCCCTACCTGTCACTGACTCAAGTCAGTGACAGCCTCTGATCCCAACCTGGAAGATGGGATGGAGTAAAGTGCAATGAGTTGAGTGCTTCAGCCATGGTCTTTTTGAATGTCCATACTTAGCCTAAACGCTGTAAAGCAGGGGTGTCAACCCCCCTGTATCCTAGGTTGGATCCAAACCACAGGAATCCTTGTGGGCTGGATCAGCAGCAGCAGAAACAGCAGATGGGGTGGTAGTGGGGTAAATGGCCACAGGCCAGGTGGCTAACTTGCCAAACTGGAGGCAGCAGGCCAAGTGGCCAAAGGACGAGTGAGGTTGTGTTGGCACAGTTCTTGCTTACTTCCCTGCAGCTGATGGCCATGTCCACTGGGGCTCTATATTGTGTGATAGGCCCATCCACTTCTTGACGTTTCCTGGTCCATTGGTAGCCCTGTGGCTGAGATGAAGTGGTTCGGCAGACCAGAACCAGCCTGAAGGCCATATATAAATTGGCAAAGAAACTGATGCAAGGAATAGCGCACAGGTATTTTTATGGTTCTGTTTGCATCTTCCCCTCCCTAGGCCTGTCTAAAAGAGCAATTTCTTCAGAACCCTTTTAAAGAATCTGCAAAGTTTGTGGATTAAACACCTGAATCAGTGTGTGTCTCTGGAGATGTGTACTGTAACCAGTCCCAGGAGCTCTGGGAAAGTGAGCTTGGGACATCAGAACTGGTCTTTAGGAGCTTCTAGAGCAGCTAGACTAAAATCCCTTTTTTCCACAAAAGGGAATCACTGATAAAGAATGAAACACTGCTAAAGTTCACCCTGACAAAAGGAAGCTTAAAATGATACAGATTAAGTATGTCAGACCCAGTTGAATAAGTGTACAGCAGGCAGAGCTTGGATAGGCCAGCAACAACCTTTTGGGACACAGGAGAAAGATTTCCCATTCATGCAAGGAGGTGGCAACATCAAAGACAGTAACAGCAGCATAACCCATAAATAACAAAAAACCATGTAACAGAAAACTATATGCTATTCACTGTTGTAACCCTAGTCCTTCACCTGACTATTCATTACTAAAAGCCTTCAAAAGTTCTTAATTTAGGAATAAATTTAGCTATTAGCACATATATGATGAATATGTGCTGTAACATTTAAAAAAATAATCAAGTCTTTCTGCTGTAATAAGCACTGCAAGATGACCTTTACCTGAATTCTAACTTCATCACTTCAGGCAACTCTCCAAATTTTAGTTCTTCTATCTGTAGTTCTTTAGCAGCCTCAAGGATTTTCTGTTGGTCTCTTGTATTTGTAATTCCAAACTAAATTAAAAAGGCATTTTAAAATATAATTGTTTAATGATGAAGAACAGAGGAGAGAGGTTACAATTTTTTGGAAATACATAAATGTAATTATTTACATAAAAAATTTCTAAGAAATTTCTACCACTAGAAATCCGTGTAGGAGAGGGCGTGCTAAAGGTGTCCAGCCTGCAGCTGCCTCCTCTGCCTTCACTAAACTGGGGACATCTTGGTCTGGGGAAGGCATAGGGAGCGAGGCTGCTCCATTCCTCCTGTTCTCAGGAAGGAGTGGAACAGTGTGGAAAGACTCTCCATGTCCTCCCCCAACCAGGATCACTGGTCTGAGGAAGTGCAGGGAACATTTCCCCTCCTGTCTATTCTCCAGACCCGGGATACCCCAGTCAGGGAACAGGGAGCAATGGAACAGTCCCCCATACTTTCTCCAGACTAGTATATCTCTGGTTATAGAAAGGCTTGGGGAGCCACAGCAGCTCAACTACTCCTTAAGGTGTAATGGAAAGGTAGATGGGTCTTGGTGCCATTTCTGGTTTCATCAGCTCTAACCTTGGACAAATAATGTATTGCCTAACACTCTGATTTCCTTATTTTTATAGTGGGCTTTTGAAGTTACAGATTGTACACGTCTGTTACCCCTAAAGTGGGGCTGAAGGTTCAATTCAGCCTCCCAAATTTTTATAATTGATAATACTGCAGAAAAGGGAAAAAACTAAATTGCAGCTCAGCTCCCACATTGAATTAAGGAACTGGGAGCAGAAATTAACAAACTATTATTATCTTCATTTAAAAATTGCATAGATCTATGTCTATCCAAATAACCCAAAAGAATATAGATGATTAAAGTAACAAACTTTTACCCTTCAAACTGCATACCAGTATCTAAACATAAAAGTAATGAAAATAAATGAAATTTCCCAAGTAGAATGCTGACCTGTGCAAAGTCATCTTTTCCCATGGTTAAAAGCTGCCTTAAGGTTATATCTCTTTCCTGCATGAAATAAATTTTCAGTTGTCAAATATGAACACTCAAAAGAAAAATTAAGGAAAAAAAAAACCAGTTATACAAGTCATTTACCAAAGCAGTATTGTGAAGTTTCTCAAGTGAGTTCTCAATACACAGTTTTTAGCACAGAAATTTAGTTATAATTCCTAAAATTTAATCTGTAGTCTTCCAAAAGACACCACATGAGAATAATAAAGGAGCACCTTAGAGATATGAAAGGTAGCATATCAGATGAATATTTCTGGCTTATTTTTCAAAAAAAATATTAAAATGCAACTTAAAGTTTAAAGTTGAAGTATGGTGCACATTTGATAATTTATAAATTGTTTTCCAAATATGCAATTTCATTGCATCAATCTTACCTTTAGTAACTCTGCCATGTGTTCTAGACCAAGACCATGTAAAAACACTTCCAGATCACCAAAAGCTGTATAGGAACTACATAACAATATTAATAAATGAGAAACAAACAAAGGTAGTAGCAGACTTGTTCTTAAAAAATTACTAAAAAAAGGTTTAAAACAATTCTAGTGGACACATGCTTGCCAATTAGGCTGTAAACAGACATCTCACTTGACACAGGCCCTATTGTCTTGATGCTGGACCAAGATCAAAACAGGCATGGTACAATCATTTACACACGCTGTTCTTTCATGCTGCATTGCGTTGCATCCTCCACCAAAGAGGAACATACAGCCTGGCCAGCCTGTACCAGGAAAAACGCAATAACCTTAAAGAAGCACACAGTTGTGTCCTGGGAAAAAAAAAATGTTTGTACATTTTATCCTGCATCCTTCAGAGGGACTTGAAACAGGAGAGTGAACTTGAACATCTGTAGGATCCCAGGACAAAAGGCTTTCAGGGCATATGCAATGTCTATTTAAAGCCTCTGAAGAGATATATTCACAGATTCACAGGAATTTAGGGCTGGAAGGGACCTTGTGAGATCATCAAGTCCAGCCCCTCTGCTCTGGGCAGGAAAGACAAATAACCCCTGCAAGGTGTGTCCAGTCTCCTTTTGAAGATCTCTCCCAGGCAAGGTACTTCAGGAGTTAGGCAAGGCCACTCAAGAAAGCAATATCCCACAGATGGAAGTGAAGGCACAATTTAGCCAACTTTTGTAACTGGTGACAGTGTTCAAGAAGGAAAGAACAGCCATATTTAAACTGAAAAAAATCTTTAGTAATTCCTAATTTAAAACATCAAATGGCCGCAAAGTTACAATTACAAAAATACCCCACTTACCCAGGACAGAAAATACAGTACAAATACAGTCTGATCACCAGCCCCCCTCCATGTAAGTTAGATATTTTATTTATTTTCAAAGTATATTTCTCTTGCTTAGCCCTTCAGAGTTACTGTTTTGATCAGAAGTCAAGTGTAGAGTGCAATACATTAAGTATGAGGCCAAATTTAAGAAGGGTTTCTGTTTTTCAAAATGGGGTTTCATTTCTATATTTTAGCATCACTGCATTAAGTCTGACTGTTAAAAATGCAACAATCATTGATAAAAAATCTATTCATAAAACTGTGTATTTATGAAATAAAAAAACAGGGTTTTTTTGCATGACACGATTATTTCTTTACCTGACACTGTGACCTCTAGGTGCATCAGGGATTGCTTTCAGAAGTTTGTGTACAGCCTCTTCCTTAACTAGGCTCTGGACCCTTCCTTGCAAAGGATTTGCAGTCAAAGAAAGTAAACTAAAAAGCTGAAAAAGCCATCACAACAATTTAGCTAATATTCAAGAACAGATCTGCTTTATCATGTCCTACTTATTTACATGGATATATGACTATTTAAATACAAAATGTAAATTCAAAATGATAAAATGAATGAAAATTTGCCAGGGTTAGGATAGGGAAGAATTTAAATAAATCCTCTCATTCATGAAAAAAGGCAAACATCTGTGATAGAGGTGAGCCCACAGAGTTTTAATGTTCAAGAACATGAATGCTAGTACACCCACCAAATTCCAGTATAGACTGTAAAGCTTCTGCATGTACAGGATGACTCAAGAAAAGCATCCTGATTTGAAATTTAAAAGGCAGTAAGAGGTCGTAAATTAACTAAAATCTAATATATTCTTTTGTTGGAAAACAAAAGTTCTTCACTTGCAAGTGAGCAAAGTGTTTCTGAAAAACAAAAGTGTGAATACATTTAACTTTTGTCTATAAATATTTAGTATAAATATTAGTATGCAAAATAATAATTATTGACACTCAAATAAAATAATTTTTCAAATATTTTGTGGTCTAAGTTTGCACTTAGACCAAATTCGGCTAAAACAAACTTTAAATGACATGGCACCATCAAACAAGTTGCATCTCTACTTAGTATCCATTGTTCTCATCACTCAAATCTTTACACCAACAGAAGTTTCTAGTTGAAAATATTCTGCAGTAAAAAAGATCATCAACATTTTTTCTTTTTGTTTTGAAGGCAGCTTGGACAAAAAGCCACTTTTGCTAGCATATGCAAGGAAGAGAGGACCCTGGTAATCAACTTCAATGATTCATTTACTCAGATCAATAATCCTTGGCTGTCACTGGATTCCAATTCTGGTTCCCTGCCCCTCCACTGCCTGACTTCAGGCAGCAGAGCAGAAAGCTTGCACTGAAACCCAAGTAACTCCCCCCACATGGTAGAGAAAGCTGGAGAGCCAGAAACTAAAAATAAAGAGTTGGATGCCCACACTTGCAGCAGAATGGTCTATTTCACTGCAATAATGCTGTATGCTACCAAGTCTCAGAAAAATAATAAATAGCACAGCGGTAGAACCAGCAACTCGGCGGGACTCTAAAATGAGTGACAATTAAGAGTTGTCAGGAGCTAACAGTCAAATGTCGCTTCACCTTTTTACACTCAGTTCATGTTTTCAAGGTTCTCTCTGTAAGAATAAATGGCTGCAGATATGATTTTATAAAAATATGAAAGCTGCAATTCAAGAGTCTCCAGCTACAAAACACCCTACTGACTCAGAGCTCTTTCAAAGAGGAGAGTAAAAGTTTATTTGCTCCTGGCTCTAACTGTCACCCTGGTTCTTTATTCAAAAGCACCGTTTCCCCATTTCTTGCCATAAAAGAAGCTGAAAGACAAGTTTTGTGCCGCCTCTGGTTGAGTATGATTTTGGTTCTTCTCTTGCCCAACTGTCTCTTGTTGCTTCCACTGTCCCTTCTTCTGATGCTCAGGATGAAAGAATTAGGGAATAAATTTCAGATAAGTGAACAATGAGATACAAATATAGAGGGTTTTTTTGAGTTGGTATCACACCACTGGGAGCTGGCAAAGCCTGTAACCTTGTTTTGGTCCTAAACAGTCCATAAATTATATCTGGTGGTTATCTCAAATGGTGTTAGAAATCTGTTTGCTCTTCAGTTTTTAGAAAAGGAAATTTTCCTGAAGGACTATGAGAGTGAAAAGTAGACTGCTGGATTAAAAGGAACAGGAACGGATTACATGACACATTATTAAAACGCATCTCCTATGTCACCCAATCCAGTCATCTATTGGCAATTGCATTGTCTAATCCTGTTCTGGGGGGGGAGGAGGAGAAACATCTAATGTCTGCTCATGGTCTCCTAAATGACATAAAAGGCATTTTGTCCCTCACCAGATATTTTGTTTTCTTCCTTTGGGCAAACTAAAGTGTTTGGAGACAGTATGTTCAGAAGCATTCTCTTGAAGTGAATGGATGCTACTAAGGACAACAAACTGTCTTGGCTATTAGTTCTGGTGCTGTTATTTAAGGTCATGAGCTGACTGAACCTTTTAGGTGTGCTTACTTTGCAAGCACTAATGGTGTAAAATCTTAGTGCTCACTATAGTACAATAAATCCTGCACCTATTGCTGCATATCTGAGCAATTTTAGAACTTTTTCAGAAAGAGTTTCCCAAATGTAGTCAAAGCTGCACATTGCAATCTATTCCAAACACTTTTTTGGTAGAAATTAACAAACTATTTCTCAAATAATAGATTAGTAAAATTATCAAAATCTGTTTTTTTCATGCAGTGAATACTGAAATTCAAAATTTGAATGCATGGAAGCTGAGACACTACAATACAAGCTCTTTTAGCAACGCTACAGATGTGCAATAACTTTAAAATCAATCTCAGCATATGCAAATATGATTACTAAATACTGAGTGGCTGAAAATATATCCTAATATTAGTGCAAATATCTAAATAAACATTGCTGCAAAAAGTTGCAGCACCAGTGAGAACATTTCAGACAAAACATGAAGTTAGGTAGAGACTGATACCTCAGAATGTTTATTGCTTTTGGCAATCTCTCCAGCTGTCTTTCCATCTTTGGTTTGTAGACTTTTATCAGCCCCAAGTTCAAGCAGCTTAAAAATTACACGTTTATGTCCTTGCCGTGCTGCCCACATCAATGCCTACATAAAATATTTTGTTTCATTTAGGAAACCAAGTTTACAAAAAACAAACAGAACCAGAGTTTCTTAATTCCAGTGCACTTATGTTAAAGGTACTCTTAGGAGGAGTGTATGGTACTCCTGTTAAGTGTGACTGTGCTACTATCTTATTTTGTTATGCTCAGCTAAGCAAGATAACTTGACAAACAATTACACTAAAATTGACAACAAAAAACCTCATTAAAAGCCTTAATAAATTAATTAAAAAAGTTAAAGTGAAGCAGATGTGCAAAGTCAATCATAGCTCTGCCCTTGTTTATTCTAACTTTTCACACCTGGTAAGGAATTTCTTCCCCTTAGCCATGCCACCTGAATAAAAATGCATTAAACAGTTTTAACCTGCTCTAAATCAGGGATGTCCAACTTCGAAACAGCTGGGGGTAGCATGTCCTGCAGGTGGCATCAACAGGGGCCACAGTCTCAGGTTGGTTGATGTATGGACAACCCCCTGCTGCACCATGCACACCCCAACCTGCAGCAGTGTGCACCTGTGTAGGTGCCCTCCCACTGAAAAGACCCCGCATGGATGCCTCTCCATTGCCCTCTCCACTGCAGCAGTTCCTGACCGTGTGGCTTCCACTTTAACCCCTGCGCCAAGCCACGCTGTGCTGCACCGTGACTCCCCCAGGGCAGATGCAGAACACAGCAGCTGGAGGAGGGAGGGGGAGCCTTGAGACTTTGGCTGCAGTATGGAAAGTGGAGGCCATGCAGGAATTCAGGGGCTGCAACTTAACCCTGTGCAGGCTGCATGCAGCCCGCAGGCTACCAGTTGGACAGGCTTGTTCTAAATTTTACTTCACTTAAAAACAATGATGTGATAATTATTTAAGAACTGTCACATTTTGGAAAGTCCCTTGATACGTAGGAACAGAGGGATTTACAAAGAAATAAAATTATATGCTGAACATAAAAGTAACTTGCTTACTGTATAACCATTTTCATCCTGGCCATTTATTTGTGATCCATGAGCAACAAGAAGAGCAACAACCTGAGGGTGGCCTTCTCGAGCAGCATACATAAGAGGACTCATTTTTTTCCTGGAGATAGAGCGGAGAAATCTGTGTTCAAATGCTAAAAGATGGACCATGCTATTAGTTTTATAGCCTCCACTCAGAGCAACACTATACAGCAGAAACTATAAACAGGTACTTAAAACATTAAATGCATGCTTAGTTTCCATGGATTTTGATGAACATGTGCCTGAAATTCATCATGTTCTTACATGATTTGCAGAACTGAAGCCTGTATTGCCAATTAACATCTATGTTTTCACACCTCTATTATACAAATAAATAATAACTGATTTTCTATTAACTGTTAAGGATATTAGTACCACACCAAAATTAGCATGCAATACATTATGTAGATGTTCCAATTATCATAAAAGCAACATAAATTCCAGGACATTCCAGAATGGGACATACTACTAGAGCACTCATAGGACCTTAACTCTTCCCTGACATGACACAGGCAACAGCGTTGAGATTAGAACATTTTAATGTCTGAAGTTGCAAATTACTTGAAAGTGAGTTTTTAAAAGATATTTTCTTCTCATCCTCCCGATTCACAGAGAGCAAATGGTGGCAGCCCTCCCATGTAGCCCAAAGTCAAAAAGCAACAATGCAATAAACAGTTAATAGGGGCATGCTTAACTCCTACCAGTCAGTGGGCCTCAGAATATGCTAAATACTGTAGTTCTCACTGAAAAAGGACAGCTTAAATTCTTTGAAATACATTTTCAAATACAAAAAGACCTTCAATCTTTAAAGTAATGCTTCAAGGAAACAGATTTCCTAGATAATTCTTTTTTAAAATTTTAATTTGAACTAAATATTGAAAGTGCAAAACTAAACTCAATATTAAGGCTGCTTGCAGACATTAAAACAGTCCCAAGAAAACCTGGCGCTTCACTTTAAAGTTGGCACGTTCCCACACTGAGGCCTGCACATGCCCAGAAGAGGCATTGCCTTAGTTGGACCCAGCTCACCTGATGTCTGTATAAATTGGATGCTTTGGTGGGGCTTTTTTAGCACTTTTATCAAATAATTGATTGAATCAGCTTTAGCTAAAAGTCCCAAAAATCCCTGCTGAAGTGCCCAATCTATGCAGATGCTGCACAGTTGGATCAAAGTAATGCACTGATACTTCTGATAAAGCACAGGTCTTTTCTGGTTTTGTTCTTTTAATGCCTGCAAGAAGCTTAACTGAACATGGATCTGCAAATGATGCTTCAATAATTTAAATACAGAAATAGATGAAAGGACAGTGTCACACTGGAAATACGTGTATTATATGACAAAGGTAACATTAAGGATTTACAGGCTGTATTATTCCCGTCAAAAGCTCCACCTGTACACCTTGGAGCCCAAAAGTATTTTAACTTTCATATTTCTCCAGAATGTAGGTTTGTAGAAGTTTTAACAATATATTTTTTATGATTTTTAGATTCAAGAAAGAATTAGGAATTTAAGAATTAATCTCTCAGTATTATAAATGTTAGATTTTAATTCAATTAAACTAAGATTAAGTTACTGGTTGTGAAGAATAAAATCTTCTGAATACCAGGAAAAAATATTCAAACAGGCTTAGTTCTTATCGTAATATCTGTCCGCTATTTTCCAAAACCACATGTCAATGTTCGTCTTCTACATCCTTCCACCACTTAAGAGTACAATAGGGAGAAATCCAAGACACTTCTGCTATCCATATTTACGCCTATATTTCCAAGTACCAGAAAACATGTGAGAGAAAACCTGTCAACATAGATAAATACACATCTCTGCTCAAGCATTTCCTCTTTTTAAAGGAGAAAAAAATAACAGTGCTCAAGATGGCAGTGGTAATGGAAAAAAACAAAATAAAAATACAAAAACACTGAAAAAAACACAATCTATAAGATCCTTTGCCCCTCTATCTGTGCTGTGCTTTAGATCAGGGGTATTCAACCTCTAGCTTGACAGCCAGATCTGATCCCTGGTGCTGTGCCACAGGGCTCCCCAAACAAGTGGGAAGCCCATTTGCCTGTGGTCCTACACACTAGATCAGGAATGCTGGGCAGCACAGGGCCTGATCCTGGCATGCAGAGCCAGATGCCGGTATGTTGAGGCCCTGATCCTGACAAGTGTGGCCAGATGGAGGTGGTGTTGGCCCCTGGTGCCCCAGAGCCCAATCCTGGTATGTGGAACTGGGTAGGGCAGCGCAGGGCCTCAGGACCCAAAAGAGGCAGTGTGGAGCCCAATCTGGGTGTGCAAGCTCAATCCTAGTGCACAGGAATCAATCTGACCCACAGGGTGAAAAGGTTGAGCACTACTGGCTTAGACCCGTGTTCCTCAACCTTTTTAGACTCAAGTCACTCCTCAGAAAATGTCAGCTCTTAGTTTTCACTCAACTTTTGACTACAAAAACTAAATCAAGCAATTCTTCTGTTGTAAATAACTCAGAAAACCCACAACAGGTTGGAGAGGCATCACCCCTGAAAGTATCTCAAGGCACCCTGGTTTAGTATCATTGGCTTAAAGGATTAAACTATTCAAGGCACAAATCCTTTACACAGATCTGCAGTGCCTTGACCACCTGAGCACAATGGGCATCTCTACATGCGCTCCACGGTGGGAAGGGGGTGATTTAATTAGAGCACCTGCAGCATCACATGTATTGTATCCTGCCCTTCAAAATGGTGGTGGGGACACTGAATACATGTGAATACACCCTATTAATCAAGTCTGCTCCAACACATGTTAATTAGCACATGTCAGAGCAGAGGCCCATCATGTGCAGAGGTACCCAATACAATCAACTGTCAAGATGTGTAGCAAAGGATAAAAAACTGTATAAGTAAAACTACATAAGGAAAAAACATCTAAGTTTTGATTGCTGTGAATGAAGCAGCAATTCTGAGTGGAGAGTTATTATTCCTGCTAGTAATGCAAATATTTTAGCTGTACAAGAATGAAGCAGCATCTGTCTGTTAGCAAGAGATTATTCCATTTTGTCCCTTAGGAAGTAATCTAAAACTTTGCAGAGTGTATTCCTCTACTACTTACAACTGTTAATTACAATATTGACCTCTAGTGGGAAGCTGAAGAATGCATGCAGCAAAACATATGCATCTCTTTCTACACTGCCTTAATATTGTGAAATACTGTGTGCTGCCGCTCCTCTTCCAAAAGATAGTTAATCTCTGCTCATCTTCTGCTATTTCTTAAACAGAAGGCACTACAGAGAAACCTATTTTGCCAAGTGTTCAAATAAAATGAAGAGAGCTAAAGGAGAAGCTGAAGAGCATCAAAGATTGCTGGCAGACAGAAAAACAGATGTACAGCTAAATCTAGTGAAAGACCTGGTATCTTAAAAGAAGAAACTATGAGTGTGGAGAAAGAGGAGAGCCTTATTAATACTAGTAAAAACACTAATTGTAAAAATAACTAGAAAGGAGAAAAAACGATTAATACAGAATGGAGTCTTATATTTTCCCTTGAAAAAGGAAGGACTCAATGGGAATAGATGGATGAATGCTAAATTAATACCTTGAACATTAGCCCCCTTGTGCTATTATTTCACAAATCAGTAGAAACATTTTAAACTATGGTACTGTAATTCTGAAGCTATATTGTAATTAACTTTGGAAAATCTCTAATTCTTGGAGATATTAAGGAAGTGGACGTCACACTTCCAGTGACGGAGCTGTTTATTTCTCTACTTTCCTTCTCTTATCAGTGGCAGCTCATCTGATGAATGATTATGACAGGAAATAACCTCTTTCATATTTTTTTTTCTAAAATCTTGCTGATGTTTACACAAAACTTAAATGTTTGCATGCACTAAATTACATTTCTGTTCCTGGCATTCCTTCTCTCAACACTATTCTTTCTTTATAACTGTTGCACATATTAGCCCATCCTTATTTTATTCTGTTTTCATGATATTTTTTCTCTTATTTTAAGCTGCCCCGAGTCATTTTTGGGATGGGCAACACAAATCAAATTAATATAATGAACTTCCCGCTCTTCTTTGGCACAATAAAAAGCAGTAGACAAGTTTTTCTCCAGCAAAGTGCAACACATGAAATACCTAGTAAGCAAAGGTCACTTTGTTGGAATTTCTGAAAAAGTTTCAGAAACAAATGGTTTTGACAGCAGCTGTTGCATAAGCATGTTAATCTAGAATACCACACAGGCTGCCATTTGCTTTATGAAATTTTGAGGTTTACCTGCCTTTAAGTAGAATTCCTGC